CAACAAAAAGACGCACCAAATGAAACTGAAGAGAAAAACAGAAAAACACAAAATTGGACCAAATAAACTACGAAAATCCTATACGTGGGGAAAAATAAAGAGAAAATAAACAAAAAATAAAGACACAAAATTGGGACAAACATGGCTCGGCCCAGGGGGCTTCATTTTAGCCCGGCCGCATATGTATCAGTAGACAGGATTTACGTGGGATTAGCATATCATTCATTGGGCTTAAGGAGCCGGGCATAAGAGAGGAAGAAGGTGTTTATTTATGGAGAATGGATGTTTATTTATGGAAAGGGAGAGAGTAGAGTCATTATGGCCATTGGATGGGACAGGCCCTAGGTGTGGCAGCCGAGACTTTGATTAGGTAGGGGAGAGGACATGCACATTTTCCAAGTCATGATTTTTTGCTTGTTGTTTTGCTCCGTCCAGATGGGATTTTTCCCTTACTGCTCGATCAACACGTGCATTTGCACTTACTGCTCGGCTAGCGTGGGATTTTTCCCTTAAGGCTCGGTCTCAATCCACATTTTTTTTCCTTACTGCTCGGTCAAAGCTAAGCTTTTTATTTAATGCTCGGTCAAGGCGCAGCTTTTCCCTAGTGGCTCGGTCAAAATCCAACTTTGCACTTACTGCTCTGTTAAAGAGTGATTTCTCACTTCATGCTTGGTCAACTCGTGGTTTTCCATTTCCCGCTTGGTCAAACTGCGTGGCTTTTCAATCGTTGTTCGGTCCAAATGCTCAAAGCATGATTTTTTGCTTGTTTCTCGGTCCGAATGTGTTTCTTTTTCTTCGGTTGCTGGCTTTGATAAGTGCCCGGAGTTTTTCGCATCTTTGATCGGGTGGTCGTATTAGGTGCTCAGCTTTATCATTGGATAGTCGTGTTAGGTGCTCGGATTTTTCAGCCGCTCAATTGGAGGGGTTACAATACATGCTCGGCATTTCGCGTGAGTGGCTCCATTGCGAGGGTGCTCGGTAATTCCGTCCACCTTGTGAATTATCAAACAAGTCTATCTATTTTCTATGCCCAATAGCTCATTCGAAAATAGGGGTGCTAAATGATTTAACACATAAAGTTAATATGGTAGACTGGTGGCTCGGCCTTTTAGGCCCGGTCTCTTTTGGGCTCGGTCTCTTATGGGCTTGCATGGAATCGCATGGAGCTCGGTCCAAAGGGCGTCATAATGGCCCAGCTATAGATCATTTAGTGGCTTGGATTTAAATGGGCTTTGCCTAAAATTTTCGTATTCATGGAGATTAAGGGGTGGGCACTAAGGATAGCAGCGGTTCGGGTTCGGATCGGATGGAACCTCAGGGCACCCAAAACCAAAACCCAAACTTAAAAACCAAAACCAAAACCAAAACTGTTTCGGGTGAAAATCCTTCATCAAAACCAAAACACGCGGATACCTAAAATCCAAACGGATACCCAAAAAACCAAAAATATTATAATAAAGCACCAAAGACAACAACATAAAACATGATAACTTAGAGAGTACCAGGCAACCAGTCACAAATTAGCAAGTACCAACGTACAGTACAAGCCATAAAGGTAGTAGAGTACATAGATAAGCCAAGCCATCACGGGAGACGGGGAGAGGATAAGAGGGAGAGGAAATTTCCACTTATATAGCTAGGGTTTTTGGTGGGATTTTTGATGGGCCGTCTATTTTGGGCACCCAACGGAGCATCACGGGCGAAATATAGGATCCGCACCAAAACCGAAGACTTTCGGGTACCCGAAACCGCAAAACCGTGGGTGAAATTTGAGAACCAAAACCGAAAACCGCAGAACCAAAAACCGCGGATATCCGAACCGAAACCGAACCACTGCCATCCCTAGTGGGCACGAGAGCTGTTTGGCGGCCCATGAACGAAATCATTATTAGGAGCAGTGTATGAGGGACACGTGTAGCGTCAAGATATGAAGGGGCTGGATCATCTAACGGGTAAGGACCAAGGCGTGGCACAAACGCAATGTCAATACTCATAAATAGATAAAGTGGGGTGCACGATAGGTAATTATCGAATCACGTTACAAACCCTAAAATCTATGTTGTGCCCTTCTGGATACTATACTAACTTGAGCATCGGAAGTTTACCGCCGGGAACACTTCTCGGCGTCTTTGTAGGTTTTCGGGAGCTCAAGCGGTTGAAGGTCAGGAAGGGCCGGTTCGAGGTGCAATAGCACATCACTTAACTACATAGTTATATGTTGCGATTCAATAACACAGTAGTTTTTGCACACACTGAAACCAAAATTAAAAAGAAACAGTTCACACATTTTGCATAACGTTTAATGCTTTTGAAGTGACACCTTAAGCTTCTATATATGTTTTTTATTTGACTTCTGCCCAGAAATAAAGCCTATTCAAATTTTCTTTACTAAGAGCCTCTCCAGCCCATGGCTACTTCAGTGTATTTGCACTAAATTAGCGCAAAATCTCTCTCCAACCTTGCGCCAGATTCCTGCGGTAGAATAGATAAATGAATAGTGTTGTACCACTTTTGGCGCAACACTGTAGCTAACGCTACAATTTTCTTTTTTTTTTATTTTTTTTATGTGTTTTAATATAATACTATCGATAACTTTTTGTATAATCTGTATCAGTAAATGTATATTTTATGCTAAATAACTTTTTGCAATGTATTTTATGTTATATAACTTTGTGTTTTTTATTTGTTATGTATTATACTTTTATGTTATAATTTTTTAATATTAAAATAACACCATATGAATAAAAATTTAACACAATAAAACAAAGTTGATTTCATTAAAATCATAAATTTTACTACACACATATATACCAATTTATTTGAAATAAAAATAAATAAAAAAATTACATATTTGATGTAGAGTAAAATATAGAGATAATGACTGGAGACCAATGTTTCACTCTACTCTAGAGTAGAGTGAAAGTTCGCGCTAGAGTAGAGATAACAATTTTGAGCTTCTTGATTACTTGCCACTTTTGATTGTTGGTGTCACTTTATTTTAATTTTCTTTTTCCTCTTTTCTGAAGCACTTTTGATTCTCACCAACTTGCCACTTTAATTTGGCAGCAGCGGAACACTTCTCCAAATAGTACCCTATTGTTTGTGAACACCCTCGATAAATATATGACTACTTGTTTGTCTTTGCCTAAACATATTTCAGACATTAGCATGATAATTACTAGAAAAGGAGGAAAAAAAAAAAAAAAAAAAAAAAAAAAAAAAAAAAAACACAGTTGAGTACCTTTTAATTTTCTACTATATATTTAATTCATTTCATGATATGATTGCTTTCTGGCCAAGGCAATTAAGGTACCTTTAGAGTGACCAATATTTGAAGGTATTTATTTGCTTAAACATATTGTTACTGTCTAAACTGGTTTTACCATTTATATTGACTCCTGTTCTCAAACACAAGCAACCACACTGACTGATAATTTAAATTCTTGGTCATGATAAGTGGTGGGTATAACATATATTTTTCCTATTCTATTGTTCAGTTGTTTTTCTCCTTTTCCTACTCCCACAGCCTTGAAAAAAGTGATGAATATGTAGTTTGCTTTTTCTTGTATTTCTAGCTGTTATTGTTTCTGAATCTGAGTGATTCTTAAACACAAGAAATCAACCAGTGCATTTGCCATTTCCAAGAAAAATGAAGCTCCATTTCCAAGTCTCATCACTCATACTACTCTTGCTACCAATAGCATCCTTTCATTTTGTCACCTCGGATCTCGAATCAGACTCCACTGCCCTTTTGGATTTTGCCAACACTGTCAGACACGCGCGGAAGCTCAACTGGAATCAATCAACCTCAGTGTGCACCTCATGGATCGGCATCACTTGCACACAGGACAAAACCCGGGTGAACGAAATCCATCTGCCGGGTTTTGGGCTCTACGGCCCGCTCCCACCCAACACCCTCAGCCGCCTAAATGCTCTTCGGCTCCTCAGCCTACGTTCTAACTACCTAAATGGGACACTACCTTCCGACCTTCTCTCGCTGCCTTCACTTGAGTTCATCTTCCTTCAGAATAATAACTTCTCGGGCGAGCTTACTCTGTCTCTTCCCTCCAAGTTGAGGATGATTGATCTTTCTTTCAATTCTTTTCGTGGTGAGATCCCTTTGGTGCTTGGGAACTTGACGAGGCTGTCCGTGTTAAACCTTCAGTCTAACTCGTTTCACGGGAATATACCGAATCTTGACCTTCATAGTGTTAAAATCTTGAACTTGAGCCATAACTCCTTGAGTGGAGCGATCCCGGATTCCCTTAGAAACTTCCCTGCTTCATCGTTTGCAGGGAACGAGCGTTTATGTGGGGCCCCTTTGAATAATTCTTGCTCCCCCGCGTCTCCTTTTCCTTCTCATGATAAAAGCTTTTACGGATCGAGAAAGCTGCTCAACATGGGAGCCATGATAGCTATAGCCATTGCTGGAGCTTGTGTTGTCATCCTCATATTCTCAGCAATTGTGTTTTTGTGGTTGAAAAGGAAAAACAATGGAAAAACCAGACTGATCATAGCTAAGAACGCAAACGTGGGGAATAACTTGAAATCGGATGATTTTGGGAGTGGGGTGCAGGGAGGTGAGAAGAACAAACTCGTGTTTTTTGAGGGATGCTCGTATAGCTTTGACCTGGAAGACCTGTTGAGGGCCTCGGCTGAGGTTCTCGGGAAAGGGAGTTATGGGACAGCTTATAAGGCCATTCTGGACGAGTCAACTACGGTTGTGGTGAAGAGGTTGAAGGATGTGGGGATTGGGAAAAAGGAGTTTGAGCAGCAAATGGAGAGTGTGAGTGGGGTCAGCCAGCACCCTAATGTGGTTCCGCTGCTCGCTTATTATTTCTCCAAGGACGAGAAGCTTCTGGTTTACCGGTACATGCTTGGTGGAAGCTTATACGCAGCATTGCACGGTATATATGTTTTTTAGTTTCTTTCACTACTTAATTAATTTGTTTATGTTTTAATCCCATCTCGGATATTTATAGTACAAGTTTATTCATTTTGTATGGTATGAATGAAAAGACAAGAGAGGCAAGAGAGGGAGAGGGGTGGAGTGGGAGTGGAGGCTGAAGATGGCCCTGAGCGCAGCCCGTGGGGTGGCTCACATCCACTCGCATCAGCACGTGCACGGGAACATCAAGTCCTCCAACCTACTACTCCTCAGCCTGGAGGAAGCCTGCATATCCGACTTCGGCCTCAGCCCCATGATGAGCTTCATCCCCGTCAACTACCACCAAGCCCCTGAGGTGATGGAGACCCGCAAAGTCAGCCAAAAGTCGGACGTCTACAGCTTTGGGCTCGTCCTGCTCGAGTTGCTCACAGGAAAATCACCTCTACACTGCTCCGATCTGCCAAGGTGGGTGCGGTCAGTGGTTCGGGAGGAGTGGACCGCAGAGGTTTTTGATGCCGAGCTCACAAAGGAGAATTATAAGTATGTTGAGGAGGAGATGGTGCAGCTGCTTCAGATTGGGCTGTCGTGTGTAGCCAAGGTGGCCGACATGAGACCCCGAATGGACGAGGTTGTTCGAATGATCCAGGATGTTAGGACGGAGGATAATCGCGACACGCCTTGATTCATTTCGTCTACATCACAATTCACGACTAGTGTATTTTTTTTCTTTTCCTTGTTTTCTAATTTGCTTTATTTATTCGTGGATCATCATATTCCTTTTCTTGTTTTCTCAGCCCGTCAGCGAACTCATCCTCTATCACCCATCCCTCTGCTAACCGAGTGGATTGCCATATGGACTAATAATAATTAAGGAAAATTCTAGAGGAATTTACTTCACGCACTTATATCATATTTTCAAATCCGGCCCGAAAATTGACCCGGACAGGTCTCCGAGTCATCAGGTTATTGGTTCAATCGTCGGATCACCGGGTCAATTGCTGAACCGGGTGATTAATTTTTAAAATTATAGATAGAGTATTTTTGTCATATAAATATACATAAAGTAACAAAATTAAATGTTTTGTGTATAAAATTTTTACATTAAAGTGTTAATAATGTGTTCTCATAATAATATTTACCATATAAACATATACACATAGTCAAAATCTTTTTCACCCCATTATATATCTATTCTTTCTTTT